AAAAAGATAACAATTATTTATGCTATCTTGTTTGCTATCATTTAGGCATCAAAAATCTCAATCAGTATACCAATATTGTTGTATATCTAGAACATATTCTTTTACCTAATTTTATAACAAAAAGGATACAAATATTAATTGTTATATCAGAATTCATTCTAAAGTCGATTCTTCACTACTTTCTGGCACAAAAAATGTAACCAATATATACCAAAAGGGTAACAAAAAATATATATATATATAACAAAGGATAACAAAAAATATAACCATATATACCAAAGGGTAACAAAATTTCAATAAGGTTCACAAAATTTTGTATTATATATTAAAAGTTAACAAAATATGAGCCAAGTTTTTTCACTTATCTAAGATCTATTTTAAAAGCCTTAGCATGTAATCTATCATAGTACTGGATCACATAGTACCTTTTTGTTATATAGAAATAATTAATTAAGCAAAAGATTTTATATAAGTAATATAATATACTTCTGTAACTATATAGTATATACAAAATGGTTTATACATGTGATAGATATAATAAATCATTCAAAAAGTTATGGATGCTTACTCGTCATCTTCAGAATAGAAAATTTTCATGTCGACCTCAAATTATTCCTATTACAAATCCTATTTCAATTTCACAAATCGAACCAGATACAAGTAATTCTTTGGATCAAGTCTCTGATCCATATATTCAATCTAATACAGATAAATATTTATCTCGAGAAGAATTTGAGTATCTCAAAATATTAGATCTAATAGAAAATGATGCTGTATTAGACACTAGTATTCACTTTATTCAAATTAGAGTTAGCGATTCAGAAAGACCTCATAATAATTTTAATTTATTAAGTAATTGGGAAGCCATAGTTCTATCTATAAAAAATCTGAGATATGCATTTATTAAACCAATATCTAATTATAAGAAGTATAATGAAACACCATATATGCCTCAATTATTAGCAAATTCTAGAGATGAAATTACAAGAGTTCTTAAAATCGAGCTTATGAAAAAGAGCATATAAAATCAGCATTAGTTGCTCTTTGCTATTATGAAAAAGTAAACAAATCACTAAAAAAAAAAGATAAGAAAAATAATATAATGTATTGTCATCACAGAAGCAAAATGTGTTCTCTTTTATCAGAAAATGATATAGATGACTATATATCTCAGTCAGTTTCAGAAATAGATAAAGACATTGAGGAAATGTTAAGAAGAGGATCAAATTAGCAATTGGTTCGAATAGAAAAATTATATATTGAGGCTTATATATTACGACGAACAATTAGTGGATTATATATCTCGACTCTAAAGAAGCTTGCCAATACTAAATGCACTATTAATCCAGATAACTCTCAAATAGAAGATGATATGTGTTTAAAATATGCTTTCGGTGCATACTTTGCAAGCAATAAAGGTGTAACAAAAATTTGCAACGTATTTCTGTTCTTCAACCAATCTAATAGCTCTTACAGATATTACCAAATCTGAAAACAATAAGTATGGCAAAAGAACTATTTTCTTTGGATCAAAAACCCAGATGGATTAGTATGCAAAGATACAAAACATCGTGACAAAAAGCATTTTTGTAATCGGTACTTTTATAGTTTTCCATTAAAAAAATCTTTAGCCTATCATCAAGAGCATTGTTTCAGTTTGGGAGAGGCTACTCAAAGAGTTGATTTGCCTACTAAGGGGGTTAATGATTTTGAGAAGTTTAAAAATTATGGCGAATAATCAATATACCATATGTTATTATAGCAGACTTTGAATCAGATAACAAGAAATGGAATTATTCTGAAGGTATAATGAAACCAGTATCAGAATATGGTGGAAAAATGTATAAGATTGCAAAGCAAAAGGCAAATAGCTTTTGTTATCTAGTTCACTGGATTGATACTGGAAAGGTATGGGGCCCATTCCTATATAGAGGAGAAAATGCTATTTAGAAGTTTGTTAAAAGAATTGATAAGGAGTTGGTCAAAATTAATAGAGTTTTAGCTATAAAACATAATCAAATTGAGACTGACAAAGACAAAAAGAAATTTAATGAATCAGATAGTTGTTGGATATGTAAAAAAAAATTTATTATAAATGAGATAAAGTCAAATACTTAGAAAATAGAGCATCATGGCTTAATAATAAACTTAAAAATACTGCAAAGAATTCAGAAAATTATAAAACTTTAACAAAATAAATTCTTAAGATAACTAAAGATATTAATCAAGAAAAGTCTATGGATATAAAGATTTGGGATCACTGCCATATCACAGATAAATTTTGAGGAGCCGCCCACAATGCATGTAATCTTAAGCTTCAAATCAAATCTTGGAAAACCCTATTCCAGTTGTCTTTCATAACTTTCGAGAATATGATTCTCACTTGGTTTGTGAATCTGTTGGTCGATCAGTTAATGCACATCAGATCAAGGTTGTAGCTGAGATATTTGAAAGATACTGTCGTAGACTAATCAATAACTTTCGTCACAGAATAACCTAACCTGGATGGGGAGCACTGGATCGCTTAGCTATTACTGATTTAAACTGTTTATACTGAGGCAAGTATTTACTTTATTATTCAAATGCACTTTATTAATTAAGAGGGATACTAATACTGACTAAGACTAATACAAACTGACTTTATTATTATATTCGCTTCAATCCTTATATATATAATTTGACCTAATCGTTATATTATATATTGGTCATCCAACCATTGTCTCTTAAATTGCTTACATACTTTATTCGATTGTCCATGCATCAATTAATAATAAACTATTTTATACCACTTAATTGATTCATCCATGATATATTAATTATCTTACTTCAGTATCTCAAATATCTACCGACCGTCTCTAATTCCGATTGATTATCACATGAGTCACGTGTACAAGACACTAGATAATAGATCGCTCTTACCCTTATTCATCAACATATTCATCGCATACTGTACGTCACCATGACACAAGCTAGAGCCCCAGAAACTTTATCCTTGGAGTTTCCAGCACCTACAAGCTCTATTCTCCAACATAATTTGTGCAACCAATTTCCAAATCCACATAATTTTCCAAAAGTTCTCCAGCAAGACTCTTCCACAATCAAAAATTCATTTAATTTGGATTTCGAGTAGATGTTCATCTTTCCTTTGCTCTTTCTTTTTCTTTGAGCCTTTCTTATTATTTTTAATCATTTTACTAATCTTTGTTTTCTTTTTTATCATTTGCATAATCATTTCCCACTTGATTTATTACCTCTTCATCAACATCGTTTTTCACATTTATCTCTTTTCCTTTTACTTCACTCTTCCTAACTCATCTGCCTTATTCTACACATGTATCCTACTCCTTTTATTTCTTTCAATCTCTATCACTGATTCACAAAATTCAGCTCTACTATCTGAGCTAGTTTCTCCGAAGCTTTCATCTTCATCAACATTGGCAAGTACCTTGTTTTCATCTTTTACAACACCAATTTCATTTTGATAACAACCACCAGCGACATATACTTTATCGGTACCTCCTATTTCACAAGGCTTCTGATAATTGATGAATGACTTATGTTCATTCCTTTCGATATCAGTTTCATTATACTCGTGGTAAGCTGTTCCTTGATAATTAACAAATGTCTTATGTTTATCTATTTTGGCTCCAATTCCATAATGATGACAATGATCTTCATCATTAGTTCTGCCAACTTCACTCATATCTTCAGATTTTTGATAATAAATAATCACTTTATGTTTATCCTTTTCAATACCATTTCCACGATAGTAACAATGTCCAACAAACGGTCCATTAACATAACTTATATCAGTAGGATCATTCATCCACTTTATCTTCAATTCTATGATGATAACAATAGTCATCATTATATGTTCCATCAAAACTACATATATTTCCAGATTTTTGACAATGAATGATTGCATTGTGTTTATCCTTTTCAACATTGACACCATGATAATAACAGCCTTCACTAAAAATTCTATCAACATCGCTCAATTCTGTTGATTTTTGATAATGTTTGAATGTTGGATCACTACTTTCAATTATTTTTTTCTGGTCAAATACTAATCTATAATTTTTATCCAATTTAGGTTCTCTACCTTCAACATGCTCCGAGTCTTTCACAATTATTTCATTTTCATCTTTATCAGTATTTTGATAACAGATGAGTGCCTTATTTTTGTTCCTTTTAATTTTATTCTTTTCATCATAACAATGTCCAATACTACACAATTCACTAACATTTTCTTTATCAACAGATTTTCAGCAAGATTCAAATGCTTTAACTTCATCATTTTCTTTCTTTTCTCATCAGGACTTTCAGGTAAGTTCTTCACTTTCAATTCACTTATATCTGTTTTGCCTTCTTCATGTCGATCAATATTCACTACATTAACTGTCTTTGCCTCTACACTTTCTACCTTCTCTGCAGAATTATCACAGCCCACGTTATCCCACAAACATTCGAATAAATTTATTCTATGATTTGGTGTATCAGGTTTCGGATTTCTGTCAGATACCTTATTTTTACTATCACCGATATCTTTCTCCTTCTCTGCACTTTCATACTCATACCAGCATAGTAAGTTCATTCTGTGGACTGTATAATCATTGCGAGGTTACTAATAATATACCCAGGTTCTCATATTATGGGCTAATCAATGACTTTCGTTACAGAATAACCTAATCTGGATGGGAAGCACTGGATTGCTTAGCTATTACCAATTTAAACTGTTTATACTGAGGCAAGTATTTACTTTATTATTCAAATGTGCTTTATTAATTAAGAGGAATACTAATACTGACTAAGACTAATACAAACTAACTTTATTATTACATTTGCTTCGATCCTTATATACATAATTTGACCTAATCGTTACATCATATATTGATCATCCGACCATTGTCTCTTAAATTGCTTACATACTTTATTTGATTGTTCATGCATTAATTAATAATAAACTATTTCATACCACTTAATTGATTCATCCATAATATATTAATTATCTTACTTCAGTATCTTAAATATCTACTGACTGTCCCTAATTCCGATTGATCATTACGTGAGTCACATGTACAAGACACTAGATGATCGATCACTCTTACCCTTATTCATCAACATATTCACTACATACTGTATATTACCATGACAATACAAAACTATGAAAGTAGGTCAGCTAAAATATATAGATAGTATGCTGTTTATAAATAATAACTTGGCAAATCTTACAAAGAATTTGGGTACCAAGCACCCTATCACAAGCCAGCACTTTAAAGACTATTCTCAAAGTCAAATTTCATTAGCAAGTCGTAAAGGAGTTCATCCTTATGAATATTTCGATTCACAAAATAGGTTTAAAGAAACAGAACTTCCTTCTATTCATGAATTTTATAGTACTCTTAAAAGTAAGATCACACAAGCTAACTATCAACATGCCCAAAAAGTATAGAAAACTTTTAGTTGCAAGAATCTAGGTAAGTACCATGATCTCTATCTTAAAATCGATATACTTAGTCTTGCAAATATTTAGACCCAATTTCGAAAGACATGCATGCAATATTATAAACTTGATCCTAGTTATTATGTTTCAGCACCGGCACTATCATGGGATGCCATGCTTAAGAAGACAAAAGTCAAGATTGAGCTATTCACAGATATGTCAATGCATGATTTTATCAAAAAGGCTAAGCATAGAGGAATATCTATAGCTTGTAAGCGCTATTTCAAAGCAAATAATCCCAAAATAGGCAAGGCATTCAATCTATCTAAACCTACAACATGGATAAGCTATGTTGATACAAATAATCTTTATGGCTAAGCTATAAGTCAGTATTTGCCTATTGGAAATTATTAATGGGAAGCAAGTCAGCAATATCTTGAGGATCATCCAAATGAGCAAAAGAAATATCTTGAAAAGATTCTTAATACCAAAGCAGATGCTAAAAGAGGATATTTTTTAAAGATTAATGCTTATTTTCCTTTAAAAACTCATGACTATTTAAGTGATTTACCTCCAGCTGTAGAGAATATAGCCGTAAGTAAAGGTATATTGTATTCCCATACTACAGAGCTTGTAGATAAATTGGATGGTGGTCAATTTTCAGCAACAGAAAAATTAGTACCCTATCTTGAACCATGATAGAATTATGTTATCCATTATCAAAAACTTCAATACTATGTAAAATCGTTGATAAGGTTATAAAAATCCTATTTTTCGCTCAGACTAATTGGCTTGCCCTTATATAGCCTTCAATACAGAAAAGTGACAAGATGCTAAGAATGCTTTTAAGAAGAACTTCTTATAAATAATTCTGTATATGGCAAGACTATGGAGAATGTTTATAAATATCAAGATGTCAAACTCATAGCTATAAATAATGAGCAAAATGAAAAGAAGTTTATTAATCAAATTTGTAAACTCTCCTTTAAGTATGCTAGACAACTTGGAAATACTTTAGTAGGAGCATATATAGGAAAAGCTAGCATAACTCTTAACAAGCCTATAATTGTCAAAGCATCAGTTTTAGGACTTAGCAAGCTTTTAATGTATTGCTTTTGGTATAGATATATAAAAGAGAGATATAGTGATAAAGCCCAGCTTGGATATATGGATACAGACTCATTCATATTTATAGTTGAAACTGAGGATATCTATAAGGATATGGCTGAGCGAC